CATACAATTTCAACCACCATCTGTTGACAACTTGACCCCTTTCCCCCCACCCCATCCCCCCCCCCCCCCTCACCCTCACCATCGTTCTCCACACCACCTCATTGAACACTGACACATTTATTTTTTAACGCATTTTACCCACTCTGATCCGAGGATTATCGGAGATCAAACACACAAACCAAAACACGAGTTAAATAGTGAGGGGGGGGGGGGGAGGGGAAGGGGGGGGGGGAAGGGGAGGTGAAAGAAAAACAACAGTTGTTTTTCCACGGAATCTCAATTCAAGATGCTTAAGATTTTGGTTTGAAAGGGATTACTTCGTCAATGTTTTCCATACTTTCTGAAAAATGTGTCTTGGGTGGGGAGCGGGGGGTGGGGGGGGGGGGGACGACGTGGAATACAAAAGCAACGATTGAATATAAACACCCTATTCGTAAACTCAATATTGTTTATCAGAAAAGATTTAATTTATTGAAAACACATTATACAGACATTCAGCACTAACGTCCGTCTAAAACATGATTTTTGAGCTCAACCATGGTGGTTGTAGTCTAAGCAGAAACCTTGGAGCTTAATTAAAAGGCTTGGAGCTTAATCAGGATTATCGGAGCTTACCAAGAATGTTAACACTTAACGAAAGTGCTTGGAGCTTAACCAGAATTGTTGAACAAGAGAGCTTAAAGCGTTACCAGAATATGGAGCTTAACCAAATTGATTGGAGCTTAGCCTTAACAGTTTAATAAGAGAGTTTTAAGCTTAACCGAAACATATGAAATCTACTGCATCTGCCCAATGGATTGCTAGATATAACGAAGTATCTTTACTTTTACTTTTTTAAAGCTTAACCAGGTTAATTGGATCTTATTTTCATACCAAGATAATAAATACAAGTGTTGATTATTGTATTGATATCAATTTTGTTTATTGATATCGATCGATTTACGTATCAATCACAACTTGACACTCGGATCACTAGAGCATGGAGATCAGTTCTTGGATCGATAACAGATATTCGATTCATAGCCTAACCCTGGTCTTTAACTCCATACAGCCCGACAAAAACCTTTTTTGACGGTTTTAGTCGCTAGAGGTTTGAGGGTTAATCAAGATGTGCCAATAGTTATGTCCCTTGATTTATTTATTTATTTTTATAAAAAAAATTTTGCCTCTTTTATTTTTGTAATAATTTTTTTTTTGGTTGATAGTAAAGTAACCCTTTCGGATTCGACGGTTGAATAGTTTTGAAGTAGATTTCACCTGTTTCGATGACGTCTGTATGCGACGGAATAGTGTGTTGAGTTCTACACCAACCAGCCTTTTTATGGTATTGATTAGAACACAAACGCAAGACTTTTGAGGTGAACAATCGTGCGCTCTACCGCTCGACCAGACCGTTCCTTTGTTGTTTTGGTTAACGATATTTTAATGATGTGAGGTCCTTTATACTCGGTACACGTGGGCATCACATAGAGCTAATGGTGTGTAAGTTGATTTGGTTAAAATGTTAGGGCAGGTTTAGTTATAAGTAGTTCTATTTGAAATATAAGTTAAGGTTTAGTTTTGAGTGGTTTTGATTAAAATGTTAGACTGAGGTTAGTTGAGGGTTATGGGTACTTTAGGACTTGGATTAAATTATGATTAATGCTAGGGTTCATGTTGGTACAATACAGGGGTTAATATACGCAGTGGCGTAGCCAGGAATTAGTCATGGGAGGGGTTCAAATATTTTTCCATATGTATAAAATGATATATATATATATATATATATATATATATATATATATATATATATATATATATATATATATATATATATATATATATATATATATATATATATATATATATATATATATATATATATATATATATATATATATATATAGATATAGATATATATATATATATATATAGGGGTGTGAGTCCATGGGAGGGGTTATAACCCCCCTTGCCTACGCCACTGAATATAGGGGTCTTGTAAGTTTATTGGGCTAAGCAGGGTTAACTCAGTGGCAAGGATTGACTGCGATTATTATAGAGTTAGGGCTATTTAATGTAGAAGGTAATTTGATCAAGGGTTGTGGTTAAAGATGGCAGTAACGAACTAATAGGCTTTACGATGTATGATATTAAAAAATCCTTTCAAAGGAATAAATCCTTCAGCCTTTCACTTCCTCCTCCCCCACTCTATGTGACATGTTTTCAGACACCCCACCCCACCCTACATGACATGTTTCCACCCCCCCCCCTTCCCACCTACTATGTGTTACACGTATCCAAACACCTCCAGTCCACGTGACACATTCCAAACACCCCCACCCAATATGAGACGTTTCCAAACACCCCCACTTGATATGACACCTTTCCACCCTCCAACCCATAAGACACGTTTTAGCTCTCACCTCCCATCCCATGAGACACGCTTCTTAACACATAAGTAAAGAATTGTATTATATTTTTTTTTAATCGAAGAATAGCAGCAACATCTATCATTCAGCATCACAGGTAGCCTCATTCTAGCGTTGCCATAACAAGAAAGAGCCGAGTAATCTGATGTAGATAAATAACACTCACACCCCCCTCCCCTCCACCCAGCACAAAGGTGAACACGCATGCGCAGTTGCTAGGTGACAATGCGACAGGTTCTATTTGCAGTAGGCTTTCACTAAAGCTGAACGCGATGGCAGTGAAAGAACTACTAATTGAAAAAAAAATTGTATTTAGCTATCGTTAGACACGTCTCACCTGTCTACACAGTGACGTCAGACCTATATGTTTACATAAGCTACCGGCCAGATTTTATTTCATATTTTAGGCCATATTGGGAAATGATATTTGGCTTTTTTTTTTTTAATCAAGTGCGTTTTTAGTCAATTTTAGTGCCCAGTTAGTCAATTAGTAATAATTAGGAAGCAAATCAGTTTTTGGATGGTAACGATGACTGATAAATGTTCCAGGGAAGAAAAAAAAATATTCCGTTGCTATGGAAACGTAAACAAATAAAAAGACAGTTAAAAAGCCAATTAGCAGATGGTAGCAACTCGCGTTTTTGGACACGTCGCTAACTATGACAGTTAAATCGTACAGTGAAGAAAAAAAATAAACGTTACGTTGCTATGGAAACGTAAGCAAAACAAAAAAAAAACGACCGTTAAAAAGTGTTGCTTTGTAATTTGTTTGTAACAGTATATTGGCAGATAAGTGCTAGGTGTGTGTTAGAGTTTTTATTAGTGTAGGTCTCTGTGTTTGTGTGTGTGTGTGTGTGGGGGGGGGGGGGGGGTAGTGTGTACACGAAGTTTTAAAATAAATTGTATACAATGAACAAAACAAAAAAATCCCAAAATGTAAACGACTAAAAGGCTCAGATAGATAGATAGTTAACCAAGTTGATGTTTGCGTCTGTTTTGTTTATGTGTGTGTGCGTGCGTGTGTTTTTTTGTGTGTGTATTTGTGTGTGTTTTTGTGTGTTTGCTTTTGTGTGTTTGTGTGTGTATGTGTGTGTGGCGTCTAATTATTCAATACGGACATTATTTTCTCGTTTTCTTAAAAAAAACACTCTCCGCTTCCATTTTATTCCTCTACCGAATTAGACACGCCACAAGTTTTGCTTTTTGATGCAGGCAAATGCCACTCCTCTCTCAACCGCTTATAGAAATAAAGAAATTGTTAAAAATATTACGTAAGAACTTTGCTGTTAAAAAACAAATTAGTTTTTTTAAACACATAGTGCATTGCGTCCGCTGCAATCAGCTAGATATTTTTACGATCGAAGTGGCAGTTTTATAGACATAATTCATGTAGGTGTGCGGCGGGGTAGAAATCCTAGTTTTGTCTTCCGTATCATAATTTGGAATGCTTGAACAAATTTTTTGATTCGTTTATTGAAGCGTACGTGTAATAAAAAATAAAATATGTAGAAGTTTGCAGTATTGGAATTATTCCTCCTCTTTCAATAATTTTATCAGATTCAGATAATTCACGGTTCGATGCACATGAGTGACGAATTTCTTGAAAAATCGTTCGACGGTTTCCAGTACCTGTGTTATGACAAGTCGTTGTCCTAATATTTGTCAGTGGTTGTGTTGTGACATGTCGTTGTCCTTACATTTGTCAGTGGTTGTGTTGTAATATGCCGTTGTCTCAAAACGTGTCAGTTGTGTTGTGACATGCCGTTGTCCTTACATTTGTCAGTAATTGTCTTGTGACATGCCTTTGCCTAAACACTTGTCAGTTGTGTTGTAAAAGTTTCTTGTAATAGCACTTGGTGCCACAACTGCACAACAAGATGAAATCTGAGACTTCTGTTTGAAAGAAAAATTAAAACATCTTTACAATAACAAGCTTTCTCTAAAAATAAATTGACTATCTATGGATATTATATTTACCTAGTTCGAAAAATGGCCGTATTATTCATACATATTAACTAAATAAACATAAAAATGGGATTTTATTTAATTTTTTTAAAGACTGATTTTTTTAAAAACATAGATTTCAAACTTAAGAATATCTGTCAATATTTTAACCAACTTTTAAAGAATGACATCAGATAAAACAAAGACCTTAAAAAGGTCATCATCTGAATGACAAATCAAATCATAAAACTAAACACAATCACTCACACAAACACAAACACACAGGCACACACTCGCGCACACACACCTCACACACACCTCTCACACACACACCCATATAAATGTTTATATATATATATATATATATATATATATATACATATATACATATATATACGGCACTGAGAGCTTAAACCACCTACACGACACTAAAAGCTTAAACCACCTACACGACACCTAGAGCTTAAACCACCTATGCGACACTTACACCGAGAATGCCATAGATTCTCCAGAAATCGATGCCAGCCATTCAGGTATGACCAATATAATCATTGATCTGTCCCCCCCCCCCCCCCACCCCCCTCCTCTCTCTCTCTCCTACAGGCGTGGCACCGTTCAGAACTGTTTTTCATAACCGTCCAGGTGAACTGCACACGACGGTCGCAGTAAGTCTGGCACCACGACGACAAAGTATTCCCTGGAAGTGTAGGAGTGGTTAGGGTTAATGTTTCTGAGGAGTGGTTAGGGTTAATATTTATGAAAAGTGGTTAGAGTTAACGTTTCTGATAATAGGTTAGGATTAATGTTTCGTGATTTTAGTTAAACGAGTGAATTATTTTCTTTTTCAAAGTGAAGTTTACGAAGTGATATTTTCTATTTAGTGGTGATTGTATAGTAACAAAAGAAAAAAATAATTGAAATAATTTTGTGAAGGACTTTCGTTTTTGTTTCGAGAGTTGGAGATTATGTAAAAATATATACCAGGGACATTTTGGATTAGAGATTACGATCAAGGTAAGGAGACGGTGTTTTTATTTCAGTAATCATGTAGCTTTTTAAATTTGAAGAATAATTTTGTTAAAACAATTCATAAGTCAAACAAATAGTTAAGTGTGTTCAACTGATATATAAGTTTTGAATGGTGTAATGAGCATAAGTTTGGAACAAGTTAATTAATATCTCAGCATATGAAGGAATATGCCCAGCCGCATGTGTTTTCACTACTGTGAGCTGGGTGGTCTCAGGGACGGTCTACTGACTTGAACCCGGATTCGAACTCGAAACGTTCGGGTTGGCAGTCTAGCTCTCTACCGCTAGGCAACGCCGTCCCCTAGAACAAGAAATATGAGACTGTTTACTTTCACCTGATTTACATAGGGGAGGGGCTGTGTTTCTTCCAGACTTTTTTCTCCGGGGGGGGGGGGGCACTTGAAATTTTCGGGGGGGGGGGGGGGCGGTAGACTTTCTTCGGGGGGGCGGACACTGTTAAAAGTATATATTTTCTATATAAATTATATCAATTTCATTTCGTTCAGGGGGCGGTAAAAAATTTTCGGGGGGGGGGGGGGGCTTGTCCCCCCCGAAGAGATGCCTGGAAGAAACTCTGGGGAGGGGGGGGTGGTAAACGCGCGGTCTTACATCCTCCCCCCCCCCCCTCTTTAGCTTCTTTTATTTAAGTAGTTTCATGTTGTCTTTGATTAAATAAAAAAAAAGATTACACAATTTACACTTAGGTGTATAGTAAGCGACTGGGCGAGGATTAAACCCGTCACTAAGTTTTAGGATAAGACACGCCACGGACTAAGTTTTAGGATCAAATACGCCGAGGATTTAGGATAAGAAATAACCAATTTAAGGCAGGATCCGTTGCTTATTTAGGATAAAAATCGGCCAATTATTGTCAGATATAGAGACAGTTGGAGCAGGGTTCGAAACCTTGACACCGGAGTTACAATGATTAGCTCTATCAACTCGACTCTATCGTATGGTAGATACAGGTGATACATCTGGTAATAGTAAAAATAAAAAAAAAGTAAAGTTCCCTTTTCAAACCTGCAGGTCTATGGGGCAAGTAAAGTTGAGTTCACTTTTTTCCGTACCTCGGCATATGAAGAGATAGTGTGGTCAGAGCTATGCCCAGCCGCCATTACTTTCCCTAACGTGAGTTAGGTACCCATCAGCGTTGGGTGGAATCGTAAGGTAGATACAGGTGATACATCTGGGGAGGTGACAAAAGATGGCAGTCCCCTTGATGATCACGTGTATTGAGCTTTGATAGCCGCAATATGTTTTTACCTGTAAGAAAACTTGGAATCATAGGGTTTTTGACTAATTCTGACCATACAATGACAGAGTTAAATATACAGCAAGAACAGCAAAATATTTTTAAAAAGTCAAGTAACCAACTACAAAAAATAAAATAAAAAATGACTCCATTTAATGTAATTAATCTCAGAAACATTACCATTGATTTCAAAGTTCATTTAACTCAAATGTCCGTTATTATTTTTCTCATTTTCGACTTTAAATATTTTTTTCACCCAGTTTCTTGTAGTCCCCAGGCATTTAATTTAGCACTTTCTTATCTTTCGTACTTTAAGATAACTCAGGAACAGTAGTTCATTTAAGTGCTCCTTTGTTCATTCAACTGTTCTTTCTTTATAAGAGAACTCTGTTTTTAAACCAGTTCTGTCCCCTTCTGACCCGCTTTGACGAACTCGAATGACATTTGTGTAGAGGTCGCTTTATGTACCACAGCCTCGACAAGGGTAGTATAAAGAATGGTTTTTTTTTTTTTTTTTTTGTAATGCTTGAGACTGGATTACAAATATAAGCTTATCGAGTGCGGGTTCGGTTTAAACTTAAAAGGTTTAAGAGTGTGGGTAGCAGGAAAACGACCTTAGGATGTCTGAAAAATAAAGAGTATACCATGTGTGTATGGAGGGGATATCTGTGTGCATATTTGGGGTAGGGGAGTGCAGGGGTTGCATAGATACACACATTCCAGCAGCAGAGCCCCCCCCCCCCCTAAAAAAGTCTACAGTCCCGTCCCCCCCCCCCCCAGAACGAAATGGAATTTATATTGACAACATATACTTTTACCACTGTCCGGCCCCCTACCCGGAAAAAGTTGTCCGCCCACCCCCCCCCCCCGAAAATATCAAGTGCGCCTCCCCCCCCCCTCGGAGAAAAAAGTCTGGAAGAAACACTGTCCAGCAGAAATAAGGAAAGACGTATAAATTTCAGCTGGATAGATTAAGATAGATTAGATACGTACATTTCAAAATTTTGACTTAAGGATTACATACTGATTTCTGAAAAAATAGTACAAATTGCAATACTTGGAAGAGAGAAGAGGGTGGAGCTCAATTTGAACTAACTTGAAAGGGGGGGGGGGGTTGTTGAATTATAGACCACTGCGCAGCTATCAATGACGTGCAAAAAAAAAAGAAGAAAATGGTTTATTTTTGTAATTATTATATTTCGTGTTTAAAAAAAATAGGTCGTTTCAACAGTTATTTCATTTTTTCTAAAACATTGATATTTGCCAAAAAAATATATTACAAACCATCTGGATCCCTAAATTGCATGAGGCCCTTAGGCTTGTGCCTACTCTGCCCATTGATTAATCCGCACCACAGACTTCACAAAAACTATTCCACTTCAAAAATATTAACCTTAATACCACGCCCTTTCTACTTGAAAGCCTACAGCGACATTCTATACTTAATGAATCACTATCTATAACTCTACAAACACACACACACACACACACGGTGTGATTTTTCTGATTTCGATTTCAATCATCGATTTGTTTACCAACTGATAAGGCGAGCATGGGTTCATGATTGGGTGATTAGACCGCCTATCTGTCGTTCATTAGCTGTTAAGATAGCTTGCTACTGCTGGTCAAACATACGTCATCGTTCACTGCAGGGAAAAGGGGATGGGGTGGGGGGTTGTGTAAGGGGGGGGGGGAGGAGTTGGCGCATTTGCTTGTATGGCAATTACGTTATGTCTGATAACACACATACATTCCCAACCCTGAGTTTAAATAAGGTTGTCTTATAACACACAAAAAGTATAGACATACATATATATTTATTTATGAGTATATATATATATATATATATATATATATATGAAAATTGTGCATATATGTGTTCATATATATATATATGTGTGTGTGTGTATGTGTGTGTGTGTGTGTGTTGGCCTAAATGAGCTAGTATTGTCAACATATTTCCGTTTTTCCTTTATTGGAGCTATAAAAATATTAAATCCTACAAATTCATTAGTTGGCTCTTAATGAACTCCCACGGTCAGGTATGGAGTCATACATTTGGCCTGAAAGTGAGTAGTCGCTCTATAAGAAAAACCGCTCCTCGATTGTAAACTGTGTAGGTCTACATGAGACTTACAATTTCCCTTTACCACTGAAATGTAAACATGTTTATAATGTTACACGGAGCGCTATCTCTGAGCTGTAAAGTCTTGCGTTGCTATGGAAACGATGTAAACACATCATTTAATTGAAAATAAAGACGCGGGGATTACTTGTAGAGCTTGGCCTTTCATCTTTCCTTCTCTGGTCTCAGCTTCAATAGGCTGAACGGTAATAGCTCAGAAAAAATAGAGTCATTGATAGCTTCAATTAAAGAGAAACGTTCATATTCCTATGAGCTGATATATGTTTGGGATATGGCACTCGGTTGAATGAAACTCAGTGACATATCTCAGTGCTAAAATAAGATCATTTAAGAAGATGCGAGCTGAAATAGAATAATAATTACGTATCGTGTCAACTTGATATGCGCCGTATAGACCGTTGACTCCGGTTTTAGCCTGCTTAACTTTTTTGGTTTGCTACCATAGACTTTGTCCAAAAAAAAAAAAAAAAAAAAAAAAAAAAAAAAAAAAAAAAAAAAAAAACTACAAGGCAGTTTAGATTTGCCGTGAGGAAAGAATAGGACATAGGGCATACGAAGATTATATATGAGCTAGTTGTTTAAGGGGTGGGGCTGGAATGTTATGGACAAATATAAGTAGCTTTCCCCACCTATCGAGCATTATCTGCCCAGGGTTCGAACTCGGGACCTATATATGCAATTTATAATGCTACAATAATACATTGTCTGCCAAATATCACCTCAGCTGTATATATAACAGCTACCGTTTTTCCCAAAAAATCACCTCTGTTGTTTGATAGTTACTGTCGTATGCCAAAGCTCACCTAATCTATCTATGCAACAGGTAGACGTCTGCCACTTATCACTTAAGCCCGTGTAACAGACGCAGTCGTCTGCTAACAAATCTATCAGTTCTTCCGCCGTTCAATTTTTTTTTCACGCATGCCCGACTTTGTTAGTCCACTGATCGAACCGTACAGGTACCCACTTGTTCACGCTCCATTGAGCTTGTTGTTGTAGGCGTTGGATCATGTATCCACAGGCCGTGTGGATTAAGGTGGATATGATTGGAATGTGATAGTAGAATAAGACAGAGGACGCGTATCAGGAGTATGTATGTGATAGTTGTTGAAGAGAAAGTACTTAAAATAGAGTAAGAACAGGACATAAAAACACATAAATGGATTACATGTTGCCTAGCATTTGAAGATGTAGAAATGAATATGAAGGAAGAATAGAACATATAGGACATATAATTTGAGGGTTATATATTAGATTGTAGTTTTTAAAGAGGAAGGACTGAAATTAGGGTACGAACAGGACATAAAGACACATATGAGGATTATATATGAGCTTGTAGTTGAAGAGGAAGGGATGAAATTTGGGCACGAAAAGGACAAAGAGACATATGAGGATTGTATGTTGATTATGTTGATTAGCACTAAAGTAAGAGGTTGGACTGGAATATGAAGAAATAGTAGAACATAAGACTGAGGATTATATTAAGATATATGAGGATTATATATGTGCTGTAGTTGACGAGGAGCTAAGATTTGAGTAAAGAAAAGACAGAAGATAGATTAAGGATAACATTTTTGAAGTGGAATCGTTTTTGTGAATTCTGTGGTACCGGATTAATCAATGAGCAGAGTAGGCACCCGCCTAAGGATCGAATGCAAGGATTATATACTAGCTAGTAGTAAGACATTAAAGCGGTAGGTTAAGGTGTATGGAAAAAAATATTGATTTGAAATATGTTGGAGGTGGGTGGGGGGGGGGGAGTAGGAGGTGGATTATATTGTAAGGGGATAGGGTTTGGGATATATAGGTCCATATAAGGTCAACTACGTTTAACCTCTGGTTTAAGGTCACTGTACAAATTAACCTAAATCTATACAATTCTGTTGTGTTCGCGAAATATGACACCACGCGTCATTGAGACTATGAACCAAATGTTCCGTGACCTTAGCAGAGTGGCTCCGTTGATTTTTGTTCAATGTTTTATGTTTGGCCTAGACTTCTTTGGAAATAAAAGTTTGGTTTGCCAAATTTTGTTTGTTTCGCCCACATAAAATTATCTTTGGAAATAAAAGTTTGGTATGTCGATTCATGTTTTTTTTTTTTGCTTTGTTTGGCCACATTATTATCTTTGGGAATAACAATTTGGTATGTCAATTCATGTTTTTTTTTTTTGTTTGGCCACATTATTATCTTTGGAAATAACAATTTGGTATGTCGATTCATGTTTTTTTTTTTGCTTTGTTTGGCCACATTACTATCTTTGGAAATAAAAGTTTGGTTTGCCAAATGTTATTTTTTTTAGGTTTTGTTTCGCCTACATAATATTATCTTTGGAAATAACCATTTAGTTTGTTAATTCGTGTTTTTTTTTGTTTTGTTTAGCCTAATTATTATCTATGGGATTAAAAGTTTGGTTTGTTAAATGTATTTTGTTTGGCACACATTATTATCTTTTGGAATAAAAGTTGGGTTTGTCAATTCATGTTTGTTTTTGTTAGACCCAAAAATCTTTGGGAATAAAAATAAAAGTTTGGTTTGTCGATTCATGTATTTTTTGTTTGGCCAAATTATTATCTTTGGGAATAAAAGTTTGGTTTGTCGATTCATGTATTTTTTGTTTGGCCAAATTATTATCTTTGGAAAAAAACAGTTTGGTTTGTCAATTCATGTTTTTATTAGACCCACAAATCTTTGGGAATAAAAGTTTGGTATGTCAAATATAGGCTATTTTGTTTGACTCGCATATCTTTGGAAATAAAAGTTTAATTCGTCAAATGTTTTTTGCATCGCTTTGAGGATAAAATATCTGTCACATGTTTGTAAAGAGAAATTTAGTCCCCTGTAAAGAGTGATATTTTATCTGCTGGAGGCCTTATTTTAAACATGTTCGTGCAGATCTATTCCATGTGTACTTGTCTATACACTTTAACATAACATGTACATAGTCTGTACATCAGGAGCGTCACTTTGAAGGGGGGGGGGGATCAACACGGAACGGCAAATCACCTTTTTTTAAAAATCATCGTCACCCTCTTACTACCTAGTAACTAATCTAAAAATCTTCCTCTCAACTACTGAACCACTGAACCACTGAACCCTTGAACCACTGAACCCTTGAGCCACTGAACCACTGAACCCCTGAACCACTAAACCCCTGAACCACTGAACCACTGAACCACTGAACCCTTGAACCACTGAACCACTGAACCCCTGTACCACTGAACCACTGAACCACTGAACCACTGAACCACTTAACCACTTAACCACTTAACCCTTGAACCACTGAACCCCTGAACCACTAAACCCCTGAACCACTGAACCCTTGAACCACTGAACCACTGAACCACTGAACCACTGAACCACTGAACCACTGAACCACTGAACCACTGAACCACTGATCCCTTGAACCACTGAACCACTGAATCCCTGAACCCCTGAACCACTGAACCACTGAACCACTGAACCCTTGAACCACTGAACCACTGAACCACTGAATCCTTGAACCACTGAACCACTGAACAACTGAACCCCTGAACCACTAAACCACTAAACCACTGAACCACTAAACCCCTGAACCACTGAACCACTGAACCACTAACCCCCTGAACTCCTGAACTACTGAACCACTGAACCCCCGAACCCCTGAACCACTAAACCACTGAACCACTGAACCACTGAACCACTCAAAGTAATTTTCAACCCAACCCGTTTCCCACCCAAACACTTTTCTTACCTTCCTTCTCAAACACTCAACATTTTTTGCACCCACCTTACCCACTGAAAGTGCATTTCACCATACCAACCTTACCCACCCATAATATATTACAACACACACACCTTACCCACCCATAATATATTACAACACACACCTTACCCACCCAAAATATATTACAACACACACACCTTACCCACCCAAAATATATTACAACATACACACCTTACCCACCCAAAATATATAACAACACACACCCCTTACCCACCCAAAATATATTTCAAGACCCCCCTTACCCACCCAAAATACATTTCAAGACACCCCTTACCCACCCAAAATACATTTCAACAACACCCACCGAAATTCAAGAAATTAGATCCTCTTTCTAATTTCCCCCGCCCCTCACCACCCAACCACCCACACTAATAGACACTATAAATCGGATCAAAGATCAATACAATGCTAAAGCTCTTGTGTTTTGATCTTAATCTTCAAACAGGATTAATTGATTAGTAGTGACGATTTATGGGTCATTAAATTCTAATTGAACGCCTACTGACTTTTTTTTCAAACCGGGTATTGACTAGATTACAATTTACATCATACATTTTTGAAATAAAAAGACATTATTTCAAAAGAGGATTAAAGCTGTTTAGATTTAGCTATTGTTAAAATTGCAGCACTTAAAATGTAACAAAAAGCAAAGAATTTTCTTGGAATTAGTGGCTCGTAATGTTTTAGTTCAATCACTGCGCACATGGAAAGGTCAGCTAAACATGGCTCAATTGACTGCTTGCATTGAATAATGATAACAGTTTAAGTGGGCGAACCACGCTGTCGACTGCTACGGTTATAATCAATAACGGGCTAGTCATCAATTACATCACAAAATCAACATTAAATTTTGCCCTTCCTAAAGCCCTAAAAACATCTTTTTAATCCGTTGTGTTGTTCTCTAAAATAAGATAGGTAGGTTTATAAAACTTAGTAGTTAGAACGCCGTCCCACTATGATATATATATATATATATATATATATATATATATATATATATATATATATATATATATATATATATATATATATATATATATATATATATATATATATATATATATATATATATATATATATATATATATATATATATATATATATATATATAGGGGTCATCCATAAATGACGTCACGCTTTTTGGACGATTTTAACCTCCCCCTCCCCTCCGTCACACGTTGTCAAAAAAAGCCAGACCCCCTAAAATGACGTCACACTTCAGCCTACACCCCCCCCCCCTAGAAATTGCAGTTGAATTTGTTTTAAAACATTGATATTTTTCTAAAACCTTGTCTAAACTCTGTCAAAATAGAGTATTTTAATAACTTCCTATTACAATTCATTAAAACAGTTTTATAAAACGCGAAATAACGGCTAAAATTCGTTTTCTAACATTGCTTTTTTATAATGCAAAAGTGTGACGTCGCACCATCTGGACCCCCCCCCCCCCCTCCTCCTCGTCACAAAAATACGGACCCCCCTTCTCCCTACGAGTGTGACGTAATTTATGGACGACCCCATATATATATATATATATATATATATATATATATATATATATATATATATATATATATATATATATGTGGCACCATAGTCTAATAGACCGTTGGATTATTGGTCATTGGCGATCCAAGCACAAAAGTTACGCCCTAAGTTGATTTTCTAAGTTTATTTTGATCAGATTATGTGGTCTTGAAGCAAATTCTTCGATTATTCATCCGGTATTTTTAGATTCGGCTGCTGACTAAATCTATTTTTACGACTATCTTTGTGATATATCTGAGCTATCCCAGCTAAATGGGGTACCTGACATTCGTCTCTGAGACGGCTGACGTAACCACGTAATCCTCTGTGGAGCTAGGGGGCTGAAATTTTTCTACGCACTCTAATCCAAGCAGATCTCTCCAGTTTGGTCCATGTTAATCCCGAAATCTTTGCTTCACTTTCTATTGTCCTCTTCAAAAATAAAGCATAAACCTTTAAAATCATCGATAAACAGGTGGACTCTACTTCACCTGGCCAATGGATCACCATTGAGAGTAAACTTGTCTAAAATGTTGTATTTTTATCCACAGGAGCACCATAATGGGATGTGAGGAGACTTACACCATGTAGCCACCAGTAGCCCTGGATTACATCCAAGTTTTAGTGGCTACCTCTTGCTGTGGATAAAAACAAACTTCGCTTCATAATAAGGTACTTTTTGGTACTTTTAGGTGTTCATATGTTTTTTTTTTTAAAAACAGTCTTGTTTAATTTAATATAGTTTAGTCCTTTTCATCATATTGATAACGAAACAGTTGTCGAAACAAAACATGATAGCCCTCCTTTAAAAATAACGTTACAATTTTCTCATTCCTCTGATATTCAACCATTATTTTATTTTAAAAAATCAAATTTTTGTCGTTGATACAGTCATTCCTCGGTTATCTAGGTCAGTAGGGACCCAAAAAAAAATGGCCGCCATAAGTTAAAAACCGTGAAGTAGGGTTACCCTTTCATTAAAATTTTTATATACATTTTAGTTTGTATGTATGTATGTATAATATCAATAAGTGTATATAAAACTAAATAAGTGCATATATTATCATTTGAACATTAAAGAATAGTTTCAAACATGTAAAAAAATATAAATAGTAAAACTAAGATACATACAATAAAGTATCTATAATATAAGCGGGCTGTGTCTGTCCTTCCTTCCTTCCTTCCGTCCGTCATCGCTATAGATTTTGGGACTATAAAAGTAAACTACGCACCATGCTGTGCTTTTCAGTGCACCGCAGTGTCTTATTATAACTATTAGAGTAGGGTTTGTTTATATAGCGGCATAGAGCTATTTTATAATTTCCACTGTTTGTACAATTTTGCATAACGTAAAGAGAATATTAAATACACGCACATTGCTAAAACATATTAAAAGGATCAATGTCAAATATAGTTTTCGTTAATATTCCTAGAAAAAGTGGATACATTTTTATAACATAATAACTGTAGGTTAGAAAAATCAAATTAATTTAACTCTTTTCTAATTTTGACAAAGGAGGTAATTTAAAAATACATTAAAACTCTCGCTAATAAAAAATGTGAATGCAAATATACGTTCGTCATAGAAGGAATTAGTGTTGCAATAATATAATTAGCAAAATGTGAATGCAAATTATTCGGATGTGTAAGAGGAAATTATTGTTAGAAAATTATAATTAGCATGGATTGATAAAAGGCAATCTTTTATTTATTTTATTCACTGAATGTAGGCCCTACTGTTTATTACTTATAATTTTTAAACAACTATTCAGCACTATTATAGGCGCGTCATCACGTTCATTAGGTGCGCAATGGTTTTAGTTATGAAACTCAATTGTAAATTTTTAAAATTTAAAGTACTGGGAAAAAAAAATGCGTGAATGGATAAAGTGAAATATTGTAGGTAAAACACGGATATTTTAAATACTGCCTATTATTTATACTGTTTTCTAATTATTATTCTATCTTTCGGGTTTTATAGGAGAGGCGTAGCGAGGGGGGGGGGGGGGGCATATGTCCCCGGGTGCGCCAAAGTGGGTTGGAAAAAATTTGCGAGGGGGAGGGGTGTGGTGCAAATCGAAAGTTTTAGGGCGGGGGGGGGGGGGAGGGGTGCAAATCGAAAGTTTGAGGGGGTGCAAATCACCGGAAAGGGCGCGATTTGGCGCTACGGGCTAGACTGTGAGCAATATGCCTTTATGATTGCATTTAAATTGTGTTTATGTTATGAGTGTTGTGTTTGTTTTTTCGTTGTTTTTTTTTTTTTTTGCGTTCGTTTGTGTTGTGTTTAGTTTTGTTCTGTTCCCAAGTTGGTACATTTAAAAAAGATTTACCGTGGCGGAGCACGGGATGCAGCTAGTCTATAATATAAGCGGGCTGTGTCTGTCCTTCCTTCCTTCCTTCCGTCCGTCATCGCTATAGATTTTGGGACTATAAAAGTAAACTACGCACCATGCTGTGCTTTTCAGTGCACCGCAGTGTCTTATTATAAGTATTAGAGTAGGGTTTGTTTATATAGCGGCATAGAGCTATTTTATAATTTCCACTGTTTGTACAATTTTGCATAACGTAAAGAGAATATTAAATACACGCACATTGCTAAAACATATTAAAAGGATCAATGTCAAATATAGTTTTCTTTAATATTCCCAGAAAAAGTGGATACATTTTATTAACATAATAACAGTAGGGTAGAAAAATCTAATTAAACTGCTTAGTAATTTTGCCAATGGAGGTAATTCAAAGATAAATTGAACTCACGCTAAAAATGTGAATGCAAAATCTGCAAGACGGAATAATTGTTGGAATAATATAATTAGCAAAATGTGAATGCAAATTATGCTGACGTGTAAGAGTACATTATTGTTGGAATATTATTATTAGCACATTGATTGATAAAAGGCTATCTTTTATTTCTTTTTATTCACTGAATGTACTGTTTACTAATTATAATTTTTAATCAACTATTCCGCACCATTATAGACATTGGGTGCGCAATGGTTTTAGTTATGAAACTCAATTGTAAATTTTTAAAATTAAAATACTGGGAAAAAAATGCGTGAATTGATAAAGTGATATATGGTAGGTAAACACGGATATTATAGATATTGCCTATTTTTTATTGTATATTATTTATTATTATTCTATCTTTCGGTTTGCGGACAAGCTGGGGTTTTATAAGAGAGGCGTAGCTGGGGGGGGGGTGGAAATCGAAAGTTTTAGGGAGGGGGAGGGGGGTAGGGTGCAAATCGAAAGTTTGAGGGGGTGCAAATCAAAAGTTTGAGCGGGGGGAATTTCAAATCAAAAGTGGTGCAAATCGAAAGTCTGAGGGGATGGGTGGAAATTGAAATTTTGAGGGGAGGGGGTGCAAATCGTAAGTTTGAGGGAGGGTCAAATCGAAAGTTTGTCCCCGGGCGCCGGAAAGGGTCGCAACGCCTCTGTTTTGTAGTCATTCACTGTGTCAGACGCGTCCGCCGGGACTCGGAAAGGGCGCGATTTGGCGCTACGGGCTAGACTGTGAGCAATATGCCTTTATGATTGCATTTAAATTGTGTTTGTGTTATGAGTGTTGTGTTCGTTTTTTCGTTTTTTTTTTTTTTTGCGTTTGTTCGTTTGTGTTGTGTTTAGTTTTGTTCTGTTCCAAAGTTGGTATATTTAAAAATGATTTACCGTGGCGGAGCACGGGATACAGCTAGTAAAAAATATAAATGTGATACGTGTGTGTGTGTGTGTGTGTGTAACTTACTTGCACTGAGGCTGCGATAAAAGAACCGCGAAATATCGATGGATTATTGTACTCCTAATTGATATAAAATGAACGCATAGTTATCTTAGCCCCCCCCCCCCTATCCTTACCCCACCCCACTCACTTATCTTCACCCTCTCCTCCCTTCCCCTTATACAACACAGATTTCGATGTCACTGCATTCTTTATGTTTTATACAAGAGTTTGTACCGGAAGTTGTAATCTCTATGACTACCACACGTCCTGTAGAAAAGAAAAAGACTCAAGAATAAAAATAAAACACCGACAAATCCTCTAAGAGTTTAATGCCACTGGCAATATTTTTTTTTTGCTTTGCCTCTATTATAATACCCGAAGAAGAAAAAAATCATTAAATGCAATCAATATCTCATGCGATTACAATTATCGATTTTTCATAACGTTGAAAGCACATATTGACCCACAAAAATCCGATACAGTTATGGCGGCGAGTGGGATTATATGCCATGGGTTAAATTCCTTAGCTCTCGAATACATGATTTTTTTTTAGTTGACGGTAAAAATCAACAAACGGCCGCAGGAGAAATTTATCTTCAAAATATTTGTTGATAAACACACATGGGGGATGAATATGTGTTGTGGAAGTTTGGTTTTGTATTTGTTTCTGTTCATCAAGTAAAGATTTTAGATACCTTGAGAAATGTTTTCCTTTAAAATATTTGATGATAAATGAACTTAAAATATACAAAATCACTCGCGTGTTGATAGTTTGTTTTGTTTCATTGAATAAATTATAGATTTTAGATAGCTTGAGAAGTATTTTGCCTGAACATGCTTGGCGATAAATGGACTAAAATCATAAATCTCTTGTTGATAAATTGTTTCGTTTCATTGATTCAATTATAGATTTCAGGTAGCTGGAGAAATATTTTCCTTCAACATATTTGATGATAAACGAACTTGAAATGAAAACTATCTTGTTTATAAATTGTTTCGTTTCGTTGAATCAAGTATAGAATTTAGACCGCTTGATTAATATATATATATATATATATATATATATATATATATATATATATATATATATATATATATATATATATATATATATATATATATATATATGTATATGTATATGTATATATATATATATATATATATATATATATATATATATATATATATATATATATATATATATATATATATATATGTATATATATATATATATATATATATATATATATATATATATATATATATATATATATATATATATATATATATATATATATATATATATATATATATATATATATATATATATATGTATATATATATATATCCCCCTCTTGTGACCTTGTCTCTCTACCAGTAAGAAAATTGTATATAAAAATGTCTGGTGAGAGACAAACAACGCAAAACGTACCTGTGTAGACAGTTCACTTCGCCTGCCGTGTATCAATTATAGACCTTAGATTAATCGAGAAATGTATACAAACAATGGTTCGTGACGAGCTAGACAAAGAGTGTCTTGTTGATAATTTGGATTGGTTCGTTTACCGTTCGTGTCCAGCGAGTTTTTTTAACTTACCACACACTCGATGGAACAAAATAAACTTTAGTTTTGCTTTGAATGCGGAGTGAGGGAGAAATATGAGGGATAATGTTTTATATTAGGATCTACGGGTGTCTTTAAAGCAGGAGGGCGAGGAGGCGGGGGGGGGGGGGGGGGGGTCAAGGGTATGTCTAGGGGTCTGTTTATCCAACTCCCCAGCCTAATTCTGATCGCGTTACGATGAAATACTTTTAACATTTGAATTACAACATCTTGTTATCAATATTGTATTTCTGTAATAAAATTAAATGATCTTTACTATGTATCGGTAAACCCCGGTAAATAAAGATCCCTTGTAGAAATGATGACTGTATACTTCAATCTTTATTTATC